GTACTGGTTAAAAATAGGGCTGCTGCATTCTGGACCAGTTGTAGTCGTGCAATGGAGGTCTGACTGATACCAAACAGGAGTGAATTGCAGTAATCAAGCCTAGATGTAATGAATGCATGTATTACTGTCTCCAGGTTCTTTTTGGACAATATGGGCTTCAGTTTAGACAGCCGCCTCAGTTGGAAGAAGCATGATTTAACAATCATGTTTACATGATTGTTAAGTTTCAGGGAAGGGTCCATTATCACGCCCAGATTAGTGACTCTTTGTTTTTCTGACAGGGTTAGAGCGGAGAGGTCGATGCAGTGGTTTGTGATCGTGTCGTTGGGAGGGAACAACATGACTTCAGACTTCTTTTCATTGAAACTTAAGAAGTTTAAAGCCATCCAGTCCCTGATGTCAGCCAGGCAGTTGAGCAGCGGTTGAATAGAGCATGTACCATTGTGTCTTAGGGGGAAGTAAATTTGACAGACATCGGCGTAGAAGTGGAAGGGCATGTTGTGTTTCCAGAAAATAGCACCAAGCAGCAGCAGGTATAAAGATAATAGGAGGGGACCCAGGATGGACCCCTGCAGAACCCCCCATTTAAGCTCTGCCTCTGCAGAACTAAAATCCTTGATGGAGACACAAAAGGATCTGTCAGTGAGGTAAGATCTGAACCAATTGAGGGCTGATCCTGTGATGCCCACCCACTGCTCCAACCTAGCAATGAGGATCTCATGGTCGATGGTGTCAAAGGCGGCTGTGAGGTCCAACAGGACAAGCAGCACAGAATCACCGGTATCTGTGGATCTGAAGATGTTGTTAAAGACCTTCAGCAGGGCAGTTTCAGTGCTGAGGAGAGGTTTAAAGCCAGATTGGAAAAGCTCTAAGATGGTGTGATCCTCCAGGAAGCACTTCAACTGGGACTCGACTATTTTCTCCAGTACTTTAGAAACAAATGGGAGTTTGGAGACAGGCCGGAAGTTGGACACGAGTGAGGGGTCATGGTTTGGTTTTTTCAGGAGAGGATGGACAGCAGCATGTTTAAAGGATTTTGGCACCACACCAGTGGATAAACTACTGTTTACTATAGCAAGAATGGACGGACCTAGAGTTGGAAACACCTCCTTTAGTAGTCGAGGGGGGACCACATCAAAGGGGGAACCAGAAGGTTTCAAGCTGCACATGACCTGCTCTAGAGAAGATAGAGTGATGGGTTCAAAATGGTCAAAAGGAGCTACAGATTGAGGTGGGATGGATGGGTCATGAGTTGGAGGGGAAATGAGAGCCCGGGTGGTCGCAATTTTTTCCACAAAGAAATGTAAGAAGTTGTCGCACAGCTCAGTCGAGGCTTCCAGAGGTGATGGTTCAGTGAGGTGGAGAACAGAGTTTAGGGTGGAGAAGAGGACACGTGGGTTGTGAGAGTTTGAGGTAATTATATCAGAGAAGTATTTGGATTTAGCAGCTTTCACTGCTTTCTGATAACGGTCCCAACACTCTTTAAGCATTTGAAGAGAGACCTGCAGCCTGTCTTTCCTCCACTTTCGCTCCGCCCTCCTACATTGCTGCCTAACGGCCTTGGTGACGTCACTCAGCCAAGGTTCTGCTCTGAGTTTTGATTTATTGGTATAAGATGAATGATAAACTCTTTAACAGACCTGAGACATGTCTGAAGATAAATTATAAA